TTAACTGTTTAGAAAGTCGTAATCATTTTATTAATCTGTTAGCTGTGGAATTATCAACTAGTACGTGTATTATATTACAACTGAGTTATTACAATTAAGAGTTATTACTTATGTGCTGGCTCAGAAAGAATATATTAACGAGGGTTCGTATATGTTTTTATTATGATGAGTTGAATGAATTTTATCATAGATTTTAGTAACTTAAAGAGTAAATTAGAAAAAAATATAATTTAAATTTGAGAAGTAAAGAATGCTTAATGTCTTATTAAAGTATTTTGGAAAGAAGTCTTGAAAAATTTGTCAGTTGGTTGAAAAATGCAAAGTTGAGTTCAGTCACTATTTTCCCAATCGTCATCTGACTATTCATTTCCAAGCCTAACCTGCGATGATAAAAAAATAAAGGAACATTAAGCAATGTGTTAAGGTGAGGTTGTAGCATTTTTTATTGATTTAAAACAGTTGATTGGTATAGTAAACAAAATTTATATATTAGTTTAATTTTTGAACGAGTGTTGGTCTGCAAGATTTGAGAAGAAAAACTTGAATAAAAGGTCATAAAGAATAAGCTGACACATCTAAATGAACTTTCAGGGTGTCATTTCAGTGTAACATGGTCTTTACTGCGTGACAAAGAGCATCTGTCTTGAACATTACATAAAATAACTCTAGATGAATTTTTCTGTTTATCTTTTACCCAAGTGTTAGTTGAATTGACATCTGTTCCTTCAAAACTGACCGTGGCTTTCAACAATTTAATTTTCAAATATTATAGCTCATGACTACTACTAGATGTCAGCACTGTATCATTGTTGAGTGAATAATAGAAAATGTTTATCAAGAGGTTACGGAGGTCTATTTATCATGTTGAATGAGTTTCATCATGGATTAGTAACTAAATGAATAACACTAAGTTTTGTGAAAAGGGGTGGTGGGTTTGTGTACTACCCTTTCAGGTGGAACGTTTGAGTAACAATTTGGTGGATGCAGATTTCTCATATTTTGTTTCTGCAAGTTTTTAGATCTTGAGAAACCTTTTGATATGTATGAAACCTGAACAACTGAATGAATACATAATTACAAAATATTTATTAATTGCCAACCACCTGTATAAAATGTCATGCTAACATATTACCACATTTATCCCGGTTCCCCCCAAAAAAAGGAAAAACTGGCAAAGTTAGAGACCAAATGTTAGCATTGGATTTGAAGTAGTATAAAAACACGTAGAGAAAATTCAGTCTTTCGTCACCAATTTTGTACAAGTGGGGTAAACAAAAACAAAATGGCAGACGTTTACCTTTTGTCGAGAGTGTGTGCTGTTTTCAAAACTGTTTTTTATGTGCAGTACGATGATTATAAAAAATCATTTTAGCTTGTTCGACCATTCTTAAGAGATGTTTGTATAGATTATGATTTAATTTAAAAAAAACTGAGTTCTTATAGTATTATTTTTCAAAATAAAAAATAAAGGAATCTTCTATTCAAAAAATAAATCCAGAGTTTTCAGTTTTCAACAGAAACACATCTTCATACAGTACTTGGTGATGTACTAAAGTATCTAAACATTAGAAATTGAGGAGGGGTTGAAATATAGAGGTGAAAGGTCAAGAAAACCGAGCATATTGAGGCAAAATGATATAGTACTGTATGGTACAAGACCATGGTATGTAAACTGTGGGGCACATCCCCGTTGGGGGTGCATAGAGTCAGTAGAGGGCGTATGGAACTATGGTTATAGGAACGTACAATTTAAATATAAAAAAACTTTTAACAATTACTGTACAAGTATTACTACTGTCAAGTAATATAGTAATGACAAATAACATGGGAAAATGGGATTTACAATATATACACAAATAGGTTATATGGGGTGTGGAGGGGGACAACAACAAAATGTGTGTTTAGAAAGGGGGTGCCATAAAAAAAGTTTGTACACCACTGCTATAAGAGATGAATTTGGACTATTTACAGATTTCTTGTTTTGTTTTTCATGTATTTGGCATTGTTTTATTTTTGTTACACATTATTCCATAAAATGAGTTTCACCTGGGGATACCTGTAAGGTCACAGTAAATTGTTATTGTCATATAAATATTTATCTTCTACAAGTGTATTTGTTTTTGAATATGTTGCTTATGTGACAGAGTATGAAAAAAATCCATTGACTAATTACTGCTGTGGATATGTAAACGTAGAAAAATATACTTGTATTTGTGTTTCGTATGATACTTTAAGTGATGTATCAGAAGTGACGTGTGTTTTATTTATCACATTTATTTATTTCACATGTGTAAAACATATAAATAACCTTCTTCATGGTAGGGAAAGCCGCCTCGTCTGGTATCTGATACCAACTGTCACTACCAGGTGGAGTGGGAGACAGAATATGCTTGTCCTCTCAACGTGTTGCAGGGAAACAAATCAACATGTAAATTTAACCGAAATGATCATGATGTTGACATTGACCTAAGCCCGCTGATCAAACCTAATGGTAATTTAGTTTGCTATTAGTTGTTATTCTTCCTAAGTTTCATCATTTTCACAGTTTCTACGGGGTCGGTCATTTTGACCGAGTCATGTGACCCTTTGTATTTAAAGTCTTTATAAATTTAATACTTACAACTCTCAATGTATTGAATATATCTTCACAAAATTTGGCAGTCTTTCATTTAATATTACAAGTCTTTCACATACAAAAAGTCATATTTCTTAGTGAAGGAGTTTTAATAAAATAAAGATTTGTCCACGAATATACTGAGTATTTGTTTTGAATAGTCCGTGTGCAAAGTAATTTTTGTGTTAAAACTAAAAATACTTTTCCTCATCTCAAAAATCTTAAATTTCCTTTGTGTAATCCTAAAAACCTACTAAATACATTTCAAACGTTTTTTTTCTAGTAAAACTATATTTATCTTAAAACGGGATCGGTCAATTTGACCGACCTCGTAACCATAAAAAAATCTAAATAAACCTAAATGTACCTTTTTTTCTTTCTAGAATGACTTCAAATTGTAACATGAAACTACATTCGTTTATCCTAAGTAGCTCTAAGTTCATAACAGTATACATCTATATATATAATTAAATTTTATTTTTTATTGCCCTTTGAACCGTGTCTAACTATTATCCGTGCCATTATAAGTTGTAAATCACTTTGGGAACGTGCAGCTCATGTTACGCTATCAAATTACATTATCCACAAGCGGCTCGTATGCGTGCCTCGTGAACAATTTTATTTATATTATTATTATTTATTTTACCTAATCTAGCCTTAAATAACGTAAAAAGATCTGTATTTTTAAATTGTAGTTACTTTTATAATAATAAATATGAAAAACAAGAAATAAAATACGTACTCAATCTTCTTTTTATAGTAATGCACTTAACAATTTTTATTTAATTAAATAATGTACCAAAGAATATAGACTACTAACATGCAAAAATTAGACAAATTCACTTACCTCTCAAAACTTTTCTGGCTTTCTAACTATGCGACAAGAGCCGTTACAAATTTATCGAAGCTAGTCGTAAACTATTCCATGGGATCGAATCTCGTACTGAGTGAAATTGACGATATTCTGTTCAGAATACAACATTGTACAATACATCATATGATAGATGAAAACTTTGACTTTCTATTGGTTATAGGTAATGTATAATGAAATGTAAGAGAGAACTATCAACGAATTGTGAAAGAGAGGATGTGGCAGGAGGGGTCTGATTTTTTATTCGATACCTCTGTAACCAAACAAAATTGAAGGTTATCTAAATTATGGTTTGTTTGAGCAATAACGATTTTATAGAGAGTATTATTGAGGGGTGATGGATAAAATAGGGATGATGACATGCTAAGACAAAATGTGTCACGTGGGTCTCACTGGTGGAAATTCAAGATTTTTTAAAAATATTTCCTTGTAGAATTAAGAACTTAAAACTTGTATACTATTAAAATATGGATTATTAGCTCAGAGTTTATGCTATACTAATTGGTATAACAACCAAAAAGTAGGTTAATAAAATTTTGACGATAAGACACTAAAACCTTGTGTCATACTCAGTAAAGGGGTGATAGGGTTAACAGAAGGGTTGCCTAGTAAATTGTTGAACACCCCAGAGAAAGAGAGAGAGAATTATACTTTAGGGATTTCCGGTGTTAATCTGTAGTAGGTTGTTGTTTATTAATGTCTCTGGGTTTTTAATTTGTATTTCCTTCTGTATGTTTTGTCATATGTTCCGTTTAATTTTTTTTAGGAAATTATCACCTGGAGGCTGATGTAAATGGAACAAAATTGGATTTTTATTTGAATATTTGTGGTGGTCTGGGTAAGAACTTCAAATGTAATACCAGTAAGTGGCTCACGACCACTGCATGTGTAAAGTATCCCGAGACACAGACCTCTCAAATTATCGGAAGAAAACATCTTTCCAGCCTAATGTAAGTAGATGGTAGAAGTGAGAAATGTAATTTGAGGTTTTGTAAAATGGTTTTTATTTAATGTTTTATCATGGATTAATAACCAAAAGAATAATTTTAAAGTAATTAATGAGCGTGGCTATAACAAAATCAGAGATGAAATTACAAATAAATATCATTGTAATTAGAAAAAAATTAAGTTGTCAATGTCCTTTTTTCTTCCTTCCTTGCCAAGAATTAAACTATTTCTGTTGTGGCTACCTTTGCTGTTTCCCCTCATTTGATATTTGTAAGGCAAGCTGTACTGTGTTAAAAAAATGTTTTATATATTTTGAAACAATTAATGCAAAGTGTTCCTGATAAAACTGTAAGTTTAATTCTGTTCTAACATCTTTTCTCAACTATTTATTATGACTTATTATTTGCACAATTTTGCATTAAAGTCAAAAGAAAAACAATAAAATTAAGTTTTTACACAGTTTAAAATACATAAGCCTGATTTGTTAAGCCTTGAACCTCATATTTTAAGCTATTTATTATGACTTATTATTTGCACTATTTGGCATTATAGTCAAAAGAAAGACAATAAAATTAAGTTGTTGCACAGTTTAAAATACATAAGCCTAATTTATTAAGTCTTGAACTTCATCTTTTAAGCTTGAATTTCTTAAAAGCTAAAAATAGATATTTTCAAGGGAGGAAGACAAAATATTTAATTTTTATTTCATTAGAAAAGAAAAATAATACACTCGTGATGAAATTTTTGAATATTTCTTGTGTAAATATTTTTAGCTGATATCCTAAAGTCGTTAATTTTTTTTTAGACTAAGGGTGACTGGGCATATTGTGTTTTTCTTTATGATTTCATTATTAAATATATTTAGTACATTTGATTGTGAAAACAAAGAATATGTAATGATATATCATCCACACTATGTAAAAGACAAAAATGAAATGGGCCAAGAAGAAAGTTATCATATTAAAAATGTAATTATTGCAAAAACTTGAACCAGTAATTCAAAGAAAATAAATGACCCAAGTATTTTCTTACACGTGCCTATTCTGTCTTTTTTAGGTATGTTGATGGTGATTTGTCATTAATATACCATGGAAATCCTTTTGGTAGTATCATCAGGTTCCTTTGCAACCAAGAAGTTGGTGAGTACTAATGTTGAAATTACAGAGTTGAGATATGTTGACAAGTTTCATAGATAATGGGCCTGGCATGACCTGGTGGTTAGTGCTGGACTCGCAATTTGTGGGATCAAACCCTGTCACCAAAAGTATTTGCCTTTTCAGTCATGAGGGCATTATAATGTGACATTCAGTCTCAATATTCAATGTTAGAGAGTAGCCTAAGAGTTGGCGGTAAGTGGTGTCAACTAGCTGCCTTTCCTCTAGCCTATCACTTCAAAATTAGGCACGGCTAATGCAGATAGACATCAAATAGGTTAGCCCAAAATTCAACAAATAAATCCACAGTTCCAATCTTAGGATATTCATTCTTTATAAAGTAAAACTGTAAAGGAAGTTTAGAATGTTAGTTATTATTTGAACTATGAAATGTAGCAGAAAATTGGAAGTCAATAGCAAGAAATTTTATGTTAAATTTGCAGCATAACCTGTCACCAGTAAAAAGTGAAGTACGGTGTACTTATACCAGACCGTGTTTACACGAACATGGTGATTTCGGACTCGTTCCTTGGATATTTGACAAAAACAGTGCATGTTATAGTGCTGTACAAGAAATCGGGTGATTAGCCAGAAGTTGAAGATCACGTGGAACTCTTGAGAAAACGTGTCTTGAAAATACGGCCACAAAACAAAGATCGAAACTGTTACCACCTAAACTAGTTGAGCCAGGAGAGAAATGACTAACTCCACCAATGCCAGCCTTGCCAGGTTAAATAGAGAGTAGCAATGAGGCTAATATTGTGTGCATCATTGAGCTATTTTATTTGTTCCAGTAGACTTGTCTCGTGTGGCAGTGACTAAAATCCATGAATGTGATTTATAATAGTTTTACAGAAATCAGACACATGTTTGGTGTAAATAATATTTTTTTGGAATTCACAGACCATCAAAATCTTTATAAATAAAGACTGATGTATAAACTTTTCTGACTAGGAAAACAAATAATTAAATTACACAAAATCGATGACGAGGAACCCACTTTGAGACTAATAATGGCTGGAGACGGCTTGAGTGGGTAATGAAGAAAAACTTTAATATAAGTTTAACATAACAGCAAATTTGATTATGTTGCATTTCTAGGCTTTCTTTTAAAGTTTCTAAAATTTGTTTTTAATGGGTGTTTTACCTTGTTTTAAGAAATAGAACTATTTATTTGATGTTCCATACGTGCCATCTTTCTGTCATTTAGAGAATTATAAATGTATACAAATGAATAACTTGAATATCAAATAGGTGTCCCAAGGAATAAGTTTAATTCTAACTTTTATGGTGTATGACAGGTCCACTGAATTTATTAAAAAGTTTAATTATTCAGTACGTCAAATATTTGATGTTTAAATTGGATAAAATGAACTGATATTTTATACTTACAAAAAATAGGTTTATTCAGATTTTTCATATGTTCTTTTTATATTTTAAAATTGGGGTAATGAATTTTATTTTCACGCTAGTGCATTTGTGGTATACCACTTGCCCAGAAGGTTAGTAAATTTCCAGGTAATTTCTTGCCGTGTCTAACTACTCGCGTTATGAGGTAGTAGATCTTAACACTCGGCCACCGTGAAGAATACGCATTCTCTAATCTGGTGCTCGTAGCGTGATGCTAACAGCAGATAATGGGTTTTAAATACAGAAATACTCGTTTTGTCTCAAAAAAAAAAGAATTATTTTATCTTAAGAAATCTAAGTGAACTGAATATTTTGTATTACTAGCCCAGTTTTTGGGGCTTGGGGCACTCGACTCGCAATCTGCGTGTCAAATTGTCTCATTGAACATGCTCACCCTTTCATTTATGGAATTTTTATAATATGACAGTCAATTCCACTATCCATTGTTAAAAAAGTAGCCAAAAAACTGGCAGTGGGGGGGGGGTTACCTTTCATCTGGTCTATCGCTTCAAAATTAGGAACTTTTAGTACAGATATCTTTTGAATAACTTTACATGAAATTTGATAAACAGACAAATTTAGCTTTGAATACTAAGCTGGTGAGGATAAATAGACTATGTTAACTTTTAATTTGCTTTGTTAGGTAAGTCTAGCAAACAGGTGTGAAGATGTCACCTCTGTAATATGAAATTTACTGAAGAAATGTGTAGTTTATGAGCAATTATATTTTTGTACCTATTTTGTAGACGGCAATGGAGTCGGTAGTCCTGTATTTGTTGAGCTTCATGATAACGTGTTCGTGTTTGACTGGAAAACTAGATATGCCTGTGTGAAGCACGAGTCCATGAAACAGTGCGAGATAAACCAAGGAGCAGTCTACATCAATCTTGGAATACTCTTGAGGAACAAAAGTAATGATTGCAAGTTTATAAGAATAATTTGTTGGGATATCTCTGATTTTTTTAATATTCAAATTAACAAACTATTTTTTTCACGATTCTAATGGTTGCCTCATGCATCTGAGAATTTATTTTGTTTTTTCAAATCCATCAGATGAAAAACCTTGGCAGGTGTTCACTGGAGGAACGCGCGACAAAGGGGACACGGGAGTTTCTGAGTTGTACCTGAACATTTGTGACGGAGTTCCTCAGAATGGGAGTACCAAAACTTGCTCCGAAGGAACAGCCCTGTGCATGATTGGTAAGTTTGATGGAAATACGGAGTTCCTCAGAATGGGAGTACCAAAACTTGCTCCGAAGGAACAGCCCTGTGCATGATTGGTAAGTTTGATAATACGGAGTTCCTCAGAATGGGAGTACCAAAACTTGCTCTGAAGGAACAGCCCTGTGCATGATTGGTAAGTTTGATGGAAATACGGAGTTACTCAGAATGGGAGTACCAAAACTTGCTCTGAAGGAACAGCCCTGTGCATGATTGGTAAGTTTGATGGAAATACGGAGTTCCTT